TAAACGGATAAATAACGATTCGTGCTAAGGTCTACCGAGTCGCTACTACGAAGCCAGTATTAATTCCGTAAAAGAGTTTAAATGAGGGTGTTACACGAACGCGTGTTCTCTTTCTTAGCTACTCTCGATGAAATTAAATAGAGAAAGGGTCAAGGCTACGTAAAAAAATTAAAAATGACGGATATGACGTTATTTATAATCGTACAAAAAATGAGTAACATGAAATATATGCGTACATTTTCTACAACTTTTTTAACCATTCTAAGTACCTGGAAAAGCCACTTAGAATGGATCCATCGGCTAATATAACTCTATTGTGTGATAAATGGCAAAGAGTGCGAATTTGGCGAATCCCTCGGCCATAATCCGCAGACTCGAGTCCGCTCTCGAGATTCGCATCATCGCAGCATTATGCTGATGCGGATTTCGTTGTACGTCACTTGACCCACCAGTCCGGTTGGCTCCCGATTACTTATTACGTTCAGAGGGAATCCCTAAAATGACACGAAAGCACGACTGTCATATTTTTCTTATTAGGTACACTTAAGCATACGTGCTTCGAGTTTATAAAGTCTTATTGTCTTGTTTAAGTCACATTGAGTTATGTTTTCATTAGGTATAGTGAAGTAACAATACGTCTACATTGCGTATTATATAACTATTTCCACGACAGGGCGCTCGGAAAATAATGAGGCCTGCATATATGACATTTTAAAATGAAAAGAAAACTAAATTAACGTGTCTCTAAAGTACTACGAAATCGTGACAAATGAAAACAATCGTTCAAGCTGAAGATCGCATTTGATAAGTTCAAACGAAAGAAGTTTGCAGTATATGTCTATCTATTAAGTTTAACTTGCATGAACGACCAAAATAGCTATTCTACGCGGACGAAGTTTTTGGTCTACCGTAGTGCGGAAGGCTGGACCGCGAGAACGACGAAGGCGAGCAGAAAAGGTTAAGAAACAGTAGCCTTTACAATTTCTAATCACTTCAATATTCCTATATCCTACTCGACATTTATATAATGCACGAACAATATAATAAGTTATGTATTAGTTATGAATTTTATAAAGAGTTTTTATTATTATTATTATTAGATACATCGACGTTTATGTACGAGTAAGACTCGAGTTTGGCGCTCACAATTTATGCATCGGTAAGCGATGTTTGAATTTAAAAGTACTCGAAGCTTTTATGCAGTTCGCATCGAACACTTCTCTCGATATTTATTTAGCGTCATCGCTCCGCTGCCGCATGGCACGGCACACAATGGACCGACGAGCACCACTTCTACCTGAAGCTAAGTAAACGCTCGAGTGAAGGCACTGTGCATACACGCTTTCCCTTTTCATAAAGAACGAATCGCGACTAATCATTTTTCAAATTCAACTGGGACTCGGGTCGTAACTGAATCGCTGAGTGAGATCACCTGCTGCCATTCGATCGACGGGTCAGTTCGTAGGATAACATTAAAAGCAAGATAAAAGACAATCTTCCGCATGCGTCAAGGTCTGAATTGTTTGTGCAAAGTACTTGATTGCGAGCCCACTAGATCATGTGCCGCGTTGACCTGGCTCGAGTTTCAATAGACTGACCTGAGGGCCGATGCACGCCGTCATCTAGACTCGAGAGTCGCATTGCATCGCCGTACATATACTAATATGCATACGTGTATTTTGTATTGAATAAACTCAAAAACTATTGTACCGATTACAAAAATTCTTTCGCCATTTAAAAGCTAAATTCACCCTGAGTAACGAACGCTATATGTACTGACCCTACTAACTCTTTATTTACGATTTTGCAGAACTGCAGAAACACTACAGAAGATTCTGCAATAAACGTCGCAACATATGTCTAACTGTAATGTTACGGCGCAATAAATGTTCTTTCGTTGTAAAACAATTAAATTCAAATGCCGCCGCTATAAAAACTCTTATTTATACTTTGTTATGAATCCTTATTTAAAAGCGCAATTGCAATACCACTATAGAATCCATCTCTGACACCGCTAGGACGGCGCCGCAGTAAGCTGTGTAGGCGACACGGGGGTAACAAATGCTTAAACTTGGGGAAGAAATTTTCCCACTCCTAATTTAAGTTATGTCTGGACTGCTAGTCATAGTATAAACGAATGTAAAACGATAGATTTTGCACGTTTAAAGTTTTAAAGAGAATTACTTAAAAATATAAAAGATTTCATAGCTCACTATAGATCTGTCACTTTTTCAGTTTCTTTAGGAGCGTCATTTTTATTAGGTAACTGTTGAATGAATACGGGCTTCGTTGGTCTAAGACTAAATGACACGGGTTGATTTTCTTATGGTCCTACAATATTTTCTTGCGGGAATTATTATAATTGGTTAGAGAGGGTTAGCGGGACTAAATCTATTCTTATTTTGGTATGTAACAATATGCATGGAATCCAGCGATCACCGTAAAGGGCGAAATGAATCGAAACTACGTGCTAATGTTTGGCGAATAGTTAAACGACATGGTCGAGGCCACATCGAGGACGAATAATTCGCTATGAAACAATTTGTTCCGTCCTAGTTTTAGAGAACAGTTCTCCTAAAATATATTTAGAAACAGCGACACTTTTCTCAGGCTAAAATAATTTTCATTGTAATTCCCTACCGGGAGTCACGCTTAGCGGAGCAGACGCGACTAAGTAACGGCAACTAAAACTTTAACCCCGTCCTATCGACACACTGAAAAACTAAACGTGCGAAATACGCGAGCACTCGCTAATGTCATAGATTTGCAAACAGTTTTCAATAATTAGACACCTTACCTGTAAACGAAGAAATATAAAACTTGAAAATGATACAAAGCTACATTTTGAACATGTTTAAACCGCCGGTTTAGGCGAGCTGTCGTATTAAACGGAGTGCGAATCTTTTAAAGTAATCAAATCACCTTCGAGCGCTGTCTACCGAAGTGAAGGCAAAAAACGAAACGATAAAGCTTTCAAAACTTTGGTTTTACGACTCTCTCGAGAATATACGGCTACTTATCTCGGTCGTTATATAAAGTGCTCCACATTATCTTGAACCGTTCCGTATGCGTTTTATTATTATTTTCTTTTTATTGAGAATGCAGTAATTACTATATGGCTTCATCAAAAAATAGGAAAGCAAAATGTCGATACACACTTTAACAACAGTCTACGCTTTAAGTACGTACCTCTGGTCCATTGGCGGTCTCCTGAATTAAGTAGTACACTATAATCTCGCGTGTCTGCCTTAATAGGGAATACAGAGCGCCCGCAAAAAGAGTATACATTGGAAAGCAAGGGATGTTCACTCGCAAAACTATTACAAAGCACTAAATACTATAGTTTCTTCATTACGCGATTATACACAATTGGCAGCCAGATATCAAAACGCGAACAGAGCACGAGCGACTCGCACGAGTGCCACCCAACCGCGTCTGACAGCGCGCGCTGACCTCATTCGGGCGTCGGGTCGCGAAAAACTCAACTACCCCCGAAAACATTATTCCTCTAATCCCCAAAATTAACAATACGTTTTTAAAGTTTTACGTACGTAAACAGTTTCAAAAACATAGTTTAATACATACCATGTATGTCTTCTAGTCAAAATACAATATACATTTCCTCTTCAATTAATATTTGTGTCAATAATTATATTATGTTTTGTTGAGTTACAAAATAAGATCCCGCGATCCACGTTAAAGTCCACCTCACGCGAAGTACGCGAGGTACCTCCGAGCTCACCTTGATCGAAACCGACGATCGTTATCGTAACTTATCCTAAGTCGAGAGTTTGCGATTTTGTTGCCGCCTTCCAGGCGTAAATATGCAACGCGGTGTAGTGGAACGATGAAACCGCGTCGGCCGTTTTTATTGTTGAAAATTGCGTCGCAACCGCGTGCCTTGCGCCAGTCCTTCGGGAACGGCGCAAGCCCGCATCTTCCGAAGATGTAACTTCGAAGGCCACGCCTGTACTGTGGCGATCGGCGGCGCGTCCGAGGCGAGCGGGATTCGTGGGACGCGGGAAAACTGCGCGCTATTGCAATTGTTCCATGTGATTAGACTGTTAGACGGCGGGTGCGAAGGTCGCGCTGCAATTTAAATTAGATTGACTTATTTCTTGTATAATCTCGTTACGCTCGCGATATTTCATCACATTGTCTGCGCTTCAATGTTGCGCTCGGTGTCTTCGCCGCCCTCGGAAACGCAGCTATGACATTAAATTTGTTTTACCGAAAAACCCTAGCCGACAAATTAATTTGCGAAAAGCGATTGAATGCAGTTCAATAGAGGAGGCATCGTCCGCCTTATCGATTCGTGAAATTTGAGCCCTTGCGGGAGTCGGAGGATCCTATTGTTTGTCCCTTTTGTTTGAGGCCGCAGCGCGTAATCACGTTCGAACATTAAAATTCGGGTCAGGTGGTCGACACAGATTTATGGAGGCTTTAAGAAACGGGATTCAAAGATTCGACGAGAACATTAATCGGCAAAACCAAGAGAATGCGCACACGAAGACTCCACGACCGCGTAGCCATACAGGCGGATCGCGGTGTATTATACCGACTGTATGTTATAAGACGTAAGCATTCAGCGCCTAATGTTTGCCGCGCAATTTACCCGAGCGCTATCCACTGACGGTTTCTACTAAGTAATATGTATGTATATATCCCAACTTGATATATTTGTGGAAAATGTTGATTTTCGTCTACAGAGATTAGTTATTATGGACTATCATTATGTGTGGAGTAAAGCTCCAGTGTGGTCTCGAAGAAGTGCCTGCTCTTCTCTGACATTCCATAAAAACGTGCATTTCATGCGAGACGTCGACCTTACAAACATTCTCTTTACTCTGTTCACTGTGTTTTAAGTAAACCTAGCTTTTACCTAAACCCGACCTAGATTACCCAATAGGTGTTTGGAGCGCGTTTCGCGACCGCCCGTATCTTGCGTCGGTCGGTAACAAAAATACGAAGCAATGAGGACCGCACCGAGCAGTGCGTACCTGCGGAGCGAGCTTCCTTACAGGCCAGTACCATGCTCTGTCGGACGTCGGGGTTGTCGTCGGCGATGGTCTCGCCCACGGCCACGAATCGTTCCACTGCGCAAGCGACGGCCGCCCCCACGCGCTGCACGGCCGCGCCTCCCGCCGCCGCCTCACCCCGCGTCGCCACAAGGCTCCCGATCTGTCAACAAATTACTACAAATTAACAAATATAAATTTTAAACTAATGTTTATTACATGTAAAAAGTGTTGAAAAGCGCCGTTGCTCTCGATAAATTTTGTCTCGATAGAAAAGTTGAATACTCTTAACATGTTATTGCACACGTATACGATACAATACGTGGCAATATTGTGTCGTATAATATCACCGTCGGTTGGAGAGGCGGCACGAAACTCTTTGATGCCAGCATAAGTCCCTCCCGTGTAGTTAAATTGTTTTGTCTCAATAGATTTTTATTTTATATTCTTTCATAAAACAGACCTTTAATTTATTCAAGCGCCGGTAAACAATTACGGTTAAATATTCGAAGGACTTATTTAGGCGTCGTTCTCATGCGGATTGACTACCTCACTGTTAAATTTGACCTCTAACCAGGAAACCGCAGTCAATGAAGAAATTTGCGTGACGATAATTATGTACCTACAACCGTTGCATTCATCAAACGATCAGTTCGGCGTTTGTTATAACTATAATACACATTATTTTTCTAAGTAACGGACGTAGAAGAACAACGAGTTTCTTGGCTGATTTAAAGATAAGCTTTCATTAATCTATCTATACTAATATATAAAGCTGAAGAGTTTGTTTTATTTGTTTGAACGCGCTAATCTCTGGAACTACGGGTTTGAATTGAAAATTTATTTTTGTGTCGGTTAGAGCATTTATCGAGGAAGGCTATAGAACATAGCCCTGTGACTAATACAAATATAGAAATAGAAATGTGAAAAACAATTATTCATCATGCAAAAACAGTTCAAAGTCTATGAAAGAATGATTCCTCTTTGAATGATCAAAAAAAAGTCCGCGACGCTATACCTCTATCTTTTAAGATTAACTTACAAGAACAACGGGAAGGGACGCGACCGACGTCGTGGGTAACAGCTTAAGTTTATAAACATGAAGGGATTTGCAATAACAAATTTGGATTCCCAAAATAACGATTCTCGCGGACGAAGTCGCTGACACAACTAGATAATAAATTAATTCATTGATTAACTGGTGTAGAAAAGGCCCCGCCTTATCGGAGTTGTTATTAAGTATATGACAAAAGGAAAGGATTCACGCATTCTGCTGGTACTCTCCGGATCCTATTCTTTCGTGGGGGCGCCCCCAAATACCACCAAAACAGTGGAGCACGGCGCTAAATAAAGTTTAATGGGTTAGACACGAAACTGCGATGCCTTTCTTCCCGACGGCGGAAAATAATAGGAAGACTTTCAACTGCGAACGTCTTAACTTGACACCGGTCTCAAGTGAATGATGGCCGATGCCTAAACCATCTACGTTAATCTATTAGTGCTGCATCTTATTATATGTAAATAAAATAACCGCGCAATTTTATTGAAACTTATACTAATTTTTAAACAATAAATGTTAAGAGACACTGTACTAGTCAGTATACTAAACATCCGGCAGTCGAGTATACCGAGTATATTACTACATATTTTTTAAATTTTATTTAATAGCTCCTTTGTCTTTTTCTGGGTAAATTGTGTATTAAAGCAAACATCTGTTGTGTCTATGTCGCGGCATTGCTACAAATCGGACACAATAAAAGCTGAGTGGGTTATTTCGTGTTTTTTCGTTGGTTTTGTACAGACACGCCAATAATGCTTCAACAAGAAAAAGAGTCAGTTACCTGAGTGCCTCCTTTTTGGACAGAAATGTGCCTACGTACATATCTACACTTTTTGGACGCCCCCGTAAAAGGGCGTTTAAATCTGGGACATGACTGGGCCCAGCGAACGGCTGCTCACATTTTGCACTTATTTTTATTAACTAAGTTACTTAGCATAACATTTATAACTTGTAAATCACCTCAGATAATTCCGATTTCATTCAATTTTGTAGATAATTAATAACAATGCATAACGTATTACGAATAATAGGATTTAATACGCAGATAATAGACAGCCAGGCGTCGAGCGACGAGCCAGCGCCGTCCTCGGCCGGGATAAGAAAAAGGCCGCGAAGTCTGTCAAGGTCGTCCTCGTACCAGTGTTTTTGACATAACTACTTGTTGAGTCGTTACGAGCGAAGCTCCAGGAGGCGATCTCGCTCTGCAGTCGTTTCGCGACGTGGGTGAATCGCCCGCGCTTACCTGGGCCTCTCGGCAAGCGTATTCGTCGTCGTCGGAGAGCGCGTCCATCTCGGCGCTGCGCGGGGCGCACGTGTGCGGGCCCTGGCGGTTCGCTGCGGCACCGCGCACCGCTCGGCCTGCATCCGCCACGGCACTGCCGTCTGTTAGACCCGGAGCATCGATCCGCCGCCGCCTTCGGCGCCCCCTCGCTCCCGCCTCCTTCGAACCCACGTGGCCGCCCGTCCGTCTACGCGCCTCGTGGGCCGATCTATTTTTCCACATTTCCCTTCCCTTGAAAAACATTATTGTGACCGACGCCATTTTTGCGATCGTATCGACTGCGCCGGCGCGACTTTATGCCGTGCAACAGTTGATAGACGAGCGAGAACTCGGAGATAGACGCGAAACCGTCCTGCGGTGACGCGGATAGGTCTAAAAATAAAGTTACGAGCTCAGGCAGCGCGTAAGAGCACCGATCGTAACGTCGTCAACGCAACGAAGTCCTGACGTCGACGGGCGCAGTGACAGGCTTCGACGAGCTGACACTGCGGAAGTGAGCAAAACGTAATGCGTACCTGCTTGATGAGTGGGAGTAGCGTTTTCTCGACGGAGTACGTTTTTATTTGCGACAGACAGAGTTCGAGATCCGCCGTGCGGGCGGCCGCCATGGCCGGCGCGTGCGCGGACGCGACTGCGCGGGCGCCCCTACGTTGCGTGACTCTACTCGCGCCGCCCGCCCGCCCGCCGTAAACGTAGCGTTGCGTGCGCGCGCGTAGTAATTCTTTCGAGGATATAAAACTACACAGCGTTGCGTGTTCGGCTTCGATTGAGAACTCTAATTTCATACTCATTTTAAAGAGCGTTTTAACTGAACACGCGTTTAGGTAGAGTCCACGTTGCGTCATGTTACGAGTTAATAGATACCGGAATGGATTATTTTGCCTCGAATATTCGAGTAGCATTTCAGACGACAGAGATAAGAAGAAACTCATGAATTGAAACAAATTTTATTCATCACAAATAAACCAACAAAACTTACAATAATCATTGGCACATTATCACAAACTTGTCAATGATATGAACATTATTATAAAAGAAACTGAGGCACGAGACCAATAAACGTAAACAATTTACAATAACTTAAGGAATTACTTTAAGCTTAAACCTATGTTCTATACGTGTAGGTATATACTTGTAAGTGCACTTAGCCGACAATCTCGAGACACCTCGTACGATTTCCGTCGCAATGATTTTACGATTGACAATGCAGAGGTTTTCTTATACATTACGTTTTATTTAGTCTATTTACAGGATGTGTTTTAGGTAGGTATACTTTGGCAATGCTTTCATAACTTAACTTGCAGGAACTAATTAGAAAAGACAACGTAACAGAAAAATTATCGAATGATCAAGAGATTTTTCTGTTATATCGATCTATTAAGTATTAATTGTCGACAAGGAGGTACCTGTGACACGTCACATCTTATAGCGTAGCTAATTATGATGCGGGGGAGAAGATTAACTGTAATATACGCCCATACTAATTTGAGGTCGCCGCTTGTTAAACAATTCTTTGGAGCTAGTGCTGTCCTGCGAGCTGTCAGACAGCCACGGGCTCTGCCCGGACGCGTTCTTCACTTTCCTCTTGCGAAGGCTTTCGGTCGGCCCGACGGTGGGTCTGAGCAATTGCTTGAAACGAAAAGGTCCGTAGTCGTCATCCGAGCTGAACGTCGGCTTGGCGAGCATTTCCGGCGAGTTCCTGAGAATTTTCCTCAAATCGGATTCGGGATCGAAGGCAGGACTGTACGCCGGCTTCGGAAGGGCATCGGACCTCTGCGACTTTTTCACCAGTTCTATTATTTTATTACTGAAACGATAAAAACTGGTATCAAATATCACGCAGAGTGGAGCGGGACCCAGTTCTGTAGCCCTCGTGCGACGCAAATGACCGCGTTTAAAAATTGTTTCTCGCTAAGAACGTCGCAGAGAGGTAGCAGCGCCTGCCTGCCCTACTTTCCGCTAATTTATGCATGAGCTCTAGAGCTCCTGAGATAAGTGCCGAAAGGTTGGCGTAATTACTATTTATTATATCAAGCCAGCTTTTCCTCTATAAATTCACGCTTTTTGCAAAGAAAAGCCTAGAAAACGATAATAGCAAAGCTGAGTGTGTATAATCTTAGTCTGCTTGTACCGATGAAAAAGAACCGACGGTCGTGCATGAAAAGCGAGTAGTGTGTAGTAGACTTCTGTACGTTACGGTAGCTCTGTTTGTCTAGATCTAAGTGTCGATGTGTCTACCTTTGGGATTCACGAGCTCTACGATTCTACAGAATCTACTAAAGATTAGCTCTTAAATCAGTTATATCGAACTAAATTATTAAAAAAATAAGCACCTAATGTGGCATTGATTTCATACCCTTGCGGACCGTCCTCACTGTTGGCATGCGACAAATATCCCCGATATTAATTATGGCCAATAGAAGTCAATGTCATCATTATCTGTAAGGTACCTGACTAAGCCGCCGCACTGTCTGTTGCAAGGCAGATTTTGTCGATTCTCGTCGCTCTTTAGAGGGCCGTCGGCGTTGTACTTTTGGTTATTTGATCTGAAAAATAAACTCATTTAAAGTTCTGAAGCCGCTAGGCGATTAATATTTTCATTAATTTTTGTCGGTTATAAAGCCTTAACTTTTAGGGCATTAATTCCATTGCCGTCGGGTGTTTAAAACTAACCTGGGACATCTAAAGATCTTTTCATTGTTATTGTAAAACGCGTTATTCCTGGGCTGTCCGGGACCGATGAGGAACTCGGGCGACGGACCGAATCCGCACAAATGCAGCGAGAAGACAAAAGTGTAATGATATAGATCGGGTCGCCTTACGAATGTTTATCGTTTACCTGGAAAGTCTCCCGGCGTCGCCGCCCGATTCGGTCGGTTGTCCTCGTATAATAGCAGGCACGAGGGTGAATCCTGGCGGAGGGCGATATTCGTCCGGAGGTCGCTTTATATCAGCTAGCCGAACTCCGGACTTATTGCGACGCAGGTTCTTGTGGACCTCCTGGTTCTTATTGTGGAGCTGAAATAATTCATGTGTGCTTATGAATTATGTTTTGATAAGAAGCCTTCCGTATCCCCTTAAGGTTCGCGCTTAACTATACGATCGCATCTAAGCTACGGAGGCGCACTATAGGCCACTATTTAACGTCAGTAAATAGTGAAAAACGACTCCGTGAACTCGAGTTGCGACCGTAGGCCATCTGCATCGCGCGTGCATAAGCGTCTGCGGTTTCTCACCCGTTCGGCGAATATCTGCAACTGCGCGGCTCGTTCCTGCACTGAGTGGTTCGACGACTTCAGTGTAGGTGGCGCTGGCGCGGCGTGACTCGGGGGCGGCGGCGCTCGGCCTTTCTTCAGTTTTCGCCGCGTGTTGTATCCGCGGTAATCTGAAACCAATTGAACAATAATTAATTTACAGTACGTACGGTCACTCTTCCAGATCGAAGCGACAACATGCGTGTTCGACTTGAAACTGAACTACGGCGGTAACGTCAAGGCGAAGTAGGTTTTCTTTCGGTATAAAAATTACACAGAATTTAACTTTTATGCAATAATATAAATAGAAATAAAGGCACAACGTGTGAGCGTGTAAGACAGCGAGGTGTCGCAAGTCTGTATACTCACGGCTCTGTATGACGACGGCCGCCTTGTCGGACACGTTTTCCTTATTGTAACCGCTTATTTTGTGGCCATTCTCCTCGGAGGTAATCTGTCTGAGCACCTTCGCTTTCATCATTGCTTTACTTTTGTTCATTAGACCTGAAGCAAATATTACTATCTCTTCAAATTTCGTAATTTTTTTCATAGCTAATGCTTTCAATTCGAAAATCGTGATCGTGCAAGTTTTGATTTTGATAATTATAAATGTGAAAACCTTTTTCCTGCTTCTTAGCTTTTTCTTGCTCTCTCTGAAACTCCCTCGCCAGCAGCAACTGCCGCTCCTTCTCCAGCCTCTTTCTCGTGAGCCAGCCGCGCACGTGTCGCTGCAGAGTCAGAGCAGAAATCGCCATCTGAGCCCGCAGTCGTCGGTAGCGATGCCGAGCGAGCCACCCGCGCACGTGGGCCTGGGCTAGCACAACTTTCTTCACCTGAATGAATCGCGATAAAATTTACCAACCTAATTTAAGTTCTCCAATTGTTTCACTCAAGTCGAGAGACATTAATATGTACGTTATAATTTGAATAACATTTTTATCAAGTCTGATGTTGCCTTAGTCGACTCTTTTATTTGATGTGATATTACCTGTTCTTCGTAAATCCTAGCGAGGGTTTCCACGTGGTAGTATTTGAGGAACACCTTTGATTTCCCCAACGCCCAGCCGTCCATTCTCAACCGCATCAACAGTAGTCGGCAAGTGTCACGGTTCGGCTTCACTTCCTCGTCATAGCTGAACGCTAAGAAGCCATATCTGTAATGCGATAAATTATTGATTGGAACGGTACACTCGCACTAGTCATCGGTGAGTGGCGTCCTCTCTCACCTTTTTAGGAATTCTTCGAAGGCGAGGCGGTGCGAGAATCCGTTTTGCCTTATCCTGATAGTTTCCAGTACGCCAGTGTAACGCAACTGCTTCAGTATCTTTGCCGAATCGAAATGTCTCGGCGATCGGGAGTCGTTCGGCTTCAAACATCTCACGAATTGGGGCGTCCCGCTGACCATTTTCTGCAGCAGCTCCATCAGCGAATATCGGAAGTACGTCGCCACCGTTTGCTGAGTTCGCGACTGAGACGCCAGGCCCCGGCTGTTAAAGCGATCCTGAAACGTTATGTTAACTAAGTCAAATCTAGTCTTAAACGAACTAAAAATAAAATTATACTCACTCGAAAATCTCCCGACGTCGGGGCGTCCAATGTTTTAAAGTCCCCTCGAATAGCGGAATACAGATTACCGGTCTTAGTGACGGGGCATTGGAAAAGAAACCTGATGACATCGTATTGACTCTGTCTCATTAATTGTACGACTTCGGGTGGTAAAAAGTTTCGATTTTTCTCCAAAAATCCATCGGCTTGATAGACGACGCGACCGGCGAAGTGATGGATCGCGAAGCATATCGCGTCCGACTTCGGACGAACGTAGAATTTACTTCTAATGTTACGATGACATTTTTCTGCAAACGAGCGCAAAAACAGCATTTGAAACGAGCGACAACGAGATGGCAATAAAAGTCGCACACGACAGGCACGTTACCGATCAGGCTCCTGTCCGTCGAGCGCGGAAAGCGGCTCTCTTCGTCGAGGAGCGCCAGCAGTCCCATCGGCCTCGAGAGGAGCATGTCTAGGACGGGCCTGTTGTCGGAGAACTCCACGAGGTCCACCGGCACACCCTCGGCCATGTACTCCTGTTGCTCCCACGTGAAAATGTGCTGATTGAAGTAATACTGGATTTGTTCGTTCGCAATGTTGATACACAACTGCTCGAAAGAGTTTCTTGTAAAGTTTTCGAATCCAAAAATATCCAGAATACCGATAGACAGTTGGTCATTACTGTAAAAATCATAAAATACACATAGTTTTCCAGTCCGGGATGCGATGCACCGCCGCTCATTATGTATAACATCGCACGTCCACCGCCTCCTCCCTTCGCACATTAAACTTATAGTTCCTCGATTACGTACCTCTGCGGTCGATTTTGACTTAACAGAGCGTTAATTCTCTCGACGATCCTATCGAAGGCCCTGGCGTACAGGCCCCGCGCCGTGGCGTCCCGGGCTACGGCGGCCTCCGCCGGCGAGCAATGCCGAGCGATCGTTTCGCCCTTCGCAACTACACTACTGCTCGTCAAACATTCTCGCAGATCTGTAGTGTCTACTCCCAGTAGACGGGACGCTGGGAAAAGTTTTATTTATTTATAGATGCAAATAAAAGTTGAGTTTGCATAAGAGAAAATAGTTCCGGTGCCCCGTAGGGCCATAGATTGGTAAAAACAATAAAATACCCCTATGTAATGGCGCAGTATCGATAACGGTGGCTCTGTTGTCGGTGTTATCTTCTGCTGTTTCTGCAAATTCGATGTCGCCCAAGTGGAGAATGGCGGCCAGCATTTTGTATAGTACTTGGACTTCTTCATCGTGAAACCCGACTACCTGCAAGCAGAACGGTATCAAACCCCAAATCGCAGCGGAGTCAACGCGAACGGACTGCTCTGTATCGCTTACCCGGAAAGCCTGATTTAATTGACGCCATCTATAAACGTTTTGTTCCCTGTGGGCGACCGAAAGCGGTTGCAAGAACCGGTGTCTCGATTTTAATTGTTCATCGAGATAAAACTTCCTCCAGCGACCTTCGCTTTCGAGACCGTCGTAAAGATAGTAAAACACGTGGAAATTACTTTCACCTCTGAAATCAATTTCATAGTTATTCGTCGAAGTTCATTTCGGTTTCGCCTCAGTTCTCTTATATTATCACTTACAGAGCTTGATGAACGACTCTAGACTGTTCCAGGAGGTACACGGATATTCTGGCCCCCGATATTTTGCCGATCCTCATCATGTTGAGGTCCAAGTACTTGCCGAAACGCGAACTGTTAGCGTTTATTCCGGTTCGCGCATTGCCGAAGGCTTCCATTATTGGGTTGACTAGCAGAATTTTATCTTGCAAATTGCCACTTTGAGTCTGTAGGGTGAAATTATATTAAAATAAAATAAATATATCGATAAAAAGTTACAATCGTAGCGTACCTTTGATAAAAATACCAGTTGCTTCAAAATTAGATTTGCCGATTCGGTTTTCCCGGCTCCGCTTTCTCCGGATATGACGATGGCCTGATTCTGCTTTTGGTGCATTAAGGCTTGGTGAGCCGCATCAGCCACGGCGAAGATGTGAGGCGGATTGTCGGAGCGACACTTGCCGTGGTACATCTCTTGCGTCTGAAATAGTTATTTCATGTATGGCACCGCGTTCAACACTAAAATCAGTAATATTCGGGGCAAGGACTAACCCTCATTGTATAAATTCCAATATCAGTAAAGGGATTGACGGCCACCACGATATCCCCGATGTATGTGTAGATCTGGTTTTGAGCATATCTTTTTTGTAATTGCTCAACTATCGCTTCCTCCGTTAACACCTCGAGAGTGGCCAAGTCATCGGTGTACATTTTCTCTGGCTTCGCTTTACGGTGCGATTTTAGTTTACCGCGTTTTGTCGTCGCTTCTGGAGCGCGGCAGTTCCGCCCTTCGGCCCGTTGCCTCTTTATTTCGGCTCGAAGCTCTCTACGAATCTGCGAAATTTTAATTCGAATTTATGTTCAAAACAATGTCTTCACACCACATACAGAACATACTCAGAACTAGCCGTGTCAGCGGCTTCGTCCGCGAGAATTATTATTTTGTCAGAGGACAGTGTTTTAGAGCCTATAGCCTTCCTCGATAAATGCTCTAACCAACGCAAAATTGTTATATAGTAATATAATTCTTAATTTGAACCCGTAGTTCCGGAGATTAGCGCGTTCAAACATACAAACAAACTCTTCAGCTTTATAAAGTACTTAGTATAGATACGCACGTTTTCCTCAAAACTACCGACCGCCAGTAGTAGTGGGTGCTCCAAAAGTTCGCGCGCGAACGGCCTCCGGTTCATGTCCTTGACTAAGCATTCCGATATAAAATCGGCGAGTTGTGGGGAAAAGTGTTCCGGGTGGCTCAGTGCGGGTGGCGGGTTTCTGGGGATTTGAAATAAGGCCCTCATGGGGTGGAGACCGGAGAGCGGCGGTTCCCCTTCGGCTAGTTCTATCGCCGTTATGCCGACGGACCATATGTCGCAGCGGCAATCGTACGACTGGTCCAATTGCTGTTCGCACGCTATGACCTACAAAGGTTGAAATACAATTAGGATTAACTAAGAAATGAGTCTCGTCCGGACGTCTGAGACGCGTACCTCGGGCGCCATCCAATACGGAGTCCCCACCGAGGTGTTTCTCCTGGCGATGGTGGCCGCCAAGTGGGAGGACACTCCGAAGTCTACTAGTTTAACTTCGGCGTTCTCAGTCAGTAAGATGTTGTGGCCCTTGACGTCGCGGTGCATGCACCGATGCGCGTGGAGATGGGTCAGGGCGCGCATAGTGCCGCGCAGCACGTAGGCGAGCTGCGGCTCCGTCAGGCCACCGCCGCGGGCTCGCATCCCGGCGCTCAGATCGGTCACAGAGCCCCCGGTGCAGAGCTGAATCAAAGACGAAGAAGTGGTTTCGTTTCATCCTTTTGCTACAGTACGAATTAGGTTTCAAAGCACCACTTACTTCCATGACAAACCATATTTGGTCGTCTTCAGAAGAGATTCCGCGCTTTAAATATAATCCGAAGAATTCTGGAATATTGGGATGACTAGATAAATCGCGAAAGACTAGGAATTCTTCTTCGATTTCTTCTATATTTTCAGTGATATTTTCCAAAATCTGTAATTGAGAATAATTTTATATTACTTCTTGCGTTTAACATATGAATATAATTGAAGGTATAAAATAAAACCTTCAATTATATTCAAATATTAAAGTACAACATGCCTTGAAACGACGTGTCAATGCCATTTTTTAATCGTCTATCTAAACAGAATCCGTACATTATATTTATTTGCAGGACAACAAAGCGACTCGACCGTTGACATAAAGGCTGCATCCATTCAGGTTGTTGAGTTACGAATTGTTCTTCGACCTTGACACCAATAGACACCGGTGAGATAAGATCTGCGCGCGCCATTACTTGCGCGCCACTACTTCGCACTGTAACAATGCTTCTCTATTCTACCATTTATACATTGTACGAGTGCGCCATGACGCAGCATTCTGCCTTTATTAGGTATTGTTTCGGCTGACCAAAAAGTTTGACATAACGACAGTAAAGAAACGCCATATTTTTACGTCGATTATGATGTCGACATCTATCTAGCGAGTCCGAACGGAGTCACGCTAGAAATGACAATTGAAGGCGACAAACCTTGACTGCAACGCGCTTCCCGGATCCTTTATCTCTCGCGCTGTACACTTCTCCGTAGGTGCCTTCGCCTATGAGATCCTCTAGAGTGTATCGGTCGCTCGGGTCGGCCGCCCTGTCCAGCTCCACGTGCTGCGACAGCCCCCGATACGCCATGTCGCTTCTCATGCTCCCGGTTCACGTGGGTGACATCTGAAGAGGAGTATCTTTACTAATCTCTAATCACTAATAAAATATCTCGTTGACTCGCCTACCTTTTCGACTGAGCCACATTCAATGAAACTACTAATCACCACAGATGGCGGCTTGTGACGGAATGCGAACGTGAAGAAATATCTTTCGACATATTATTTCTAAGACTAGACCGCAACACAAATAGCACGTCTCTGAACAATGAATGAGTTATCGAAAATGATAAAGCTTTATCTTGAAATTTTCGATACGCGATAAAGGTACGTTACGTTAAAAACGTGTTTTATTATTTTCTTTTAAATTGCTCTTTAACGTCATCCGTTGACTAGGCTCTCTCGTCTAGATGTTTCAGTGTCACCTCACCGCACCCAATTATTGCAAATCCGACGACACGCACAATAAAACCACGTATACAAACCGCGAGTCGCGCGTCGCGTTACCTGCTTACAGTCGTAAATATTCGTATTGCGCTATAAAATAGTCAGATCATTTTCTTTTGTTTATTCATCGTTACAAGAGTGTCTATGGTCAAACGTAGCTTAACACTAGGCAGGAGTCTCACTGCTAACTGCACGTAATCCATCCGAGAAATAAAAACAGTTCAGCTTTATAATCTAAAGTCAGACCTGAGCCTTATTAATTGATGGGCGATTTTACGTGTATTATCACTTGTTATTGTGAGTGTACATCGGTTCGGTTCTCGCGAAGAGCTGACGAAGACGAAATCTTAAATGACAGTTATGTTTAACGACCGTCACTCTTTCACATTGTGCGGCTCTCGCCCCTCTCGAAACGACACCACTCGACGTTAAGGAGACTGCGATGTCACGGAGCAAGACAAGCCATGGATACGTCGTCCTTCCGAGTGCAGGACGTCGTTCGTAATTGTTAGTGCATTTTCCCTTTTCGCGGCGATCGTTTCTTTCGATCGGTGGATGTCCAATGGTCGTAACGCAAACGACACCGGATGTCCACGCTTCGATGCACGATGCACATTTTGTGATGTATCGTTTTAATATGGAGTACTCCGTTATGAAAGTTCGTTTCTTCATTACTATGTAAATGCTCGCATTATGCTAATATCGTAATATGTAACGTTTTATTTACTGCGATTTGCCGAGGTGCTGATAGTGTGCGAACGCTTAACAATTTACGAGTTTCACACATTAGGAAGCGATCATGTTTTATTCTCGATTAAAATCATTAACAGTTTTTTATCATCTCTGACCGAGAAGTAGTCTTTTGAATCCGAATACCGATATACCGAATACAAGATAACTCCTCTTCGGCTAATTGTTCAATCGAATGTAAAACGGAAAATTAATTAAGGCGATATTAACTAAATCGATTTAATAATTGTACCGTATATTTGGACACTCAAATCTTTCGCTTCGTCTTCTCGTCGGTCGTATCGTTTTATTTGTACATTTCGTTACGGATCTGCTGCTCTCCGGTATATTAGTGAAGGCGGTTAAAGGAACAGCGTGTGGAATATTGTAATCGACAAATTAATCGGAGTCGACAAAACATGTCCAAACTTAACTCGATCGTCTCGCGAGAAGGCAGCGAAGCGCGAACGACTCGCGTCGTCGATATGGGACTCTAGAGGCTGTCGACATGTATCACGTTGCCGACTTCCTGGTTCTCGCGTTTCGCGTTTCGCGTTCACGGTTCGTGCGAAGAGCTATCGTAGGAAAATGAGACCGGGCTGAGGTGTCACCGGTGTGAGAACGCGCGCTAACGAGGCTGATGTAATCGTTCGCATCGGTGTCACTCTTGTTTGATGGAGCTCGAAGTTTCGTCATCGAGTCATGTCGATCGGTATTTTCATACACATTTTAGACAAATAGGTGCTACCATTACAATATTGCTCAAATCAGTAGACTTCCGGGTTCATAAGTGGGTTTATTTAGACACCACTGAAGCAGCGACGGTGTCGTCGCCGGCTTCCTCACTCACTGAAACGGCTAAAATGATTTCGTGCAGTTCTGAATGAGCCGGTGCCAATGGACGGATGGACGCTTTCACTGTCTCTTTGTCACGAATAGCGGACAAATTGTTATTGTCTCATGATTTATAATCATATTGTGTTCGTTTTTGCACTCGGAAAAGCGATTTTCGAAAGCGTCAACTTTGTATCCCTCGGTACAGTCATCTTCTCTCTCATGTTGTCGTCCCCCGATAATGCTGTTTTTATGTCTGAGGAATTAAAATTAGTGAAGATATTCATAAGTCTCATTAGCCGATATATATGCCGCTGCTCACTTATAACACGAATAGACTTAGTACTGGGCACGTTACATCGGTACGGGGTGTTCGATATTCGCTTCGATGCGCGTTTGCGTCCGCGGGTTTAATTAAAAAGGCGTCCCTTCCGCTTTCCGCTCGATATCACTGAATTGTCATATTGCAATTGTCGACGTTCCCGATAGAGGCCATTTAATAGATATAAAAGTAAAGTTTATTGCAGTTCATTTTATTCGACGAAAATTGAATTACGTCGAAGATTAGTCGTTCAGATTTAAGAAAGCTTAGCGATGTTTAGCTTCGCCCCCGCTTCGATTCATTTTAAGTTTAAACGGTGCCAAAAGAAAATGGAATCGCAAATAATACACTTTATATATTATTATATATACACAATACACTTTATCCGCTAACAGATTTACGTACAGACGTATCGAAGAGGCAGAGTTCAGGTAGGAAACCCGTCGACTGCGTGTAATCCGCTTTAAGGGACTACCGTTCTTTGAGGATCAGGGCCACCGCGTACTTATATGCATTAAACAGTGCTTTACCAGAGTTTGACTTTTCTTTTTTCAGATAGGAAGTATCAATTTTAATAACACCGTGACGATAACTTTGATCGTTGAAATCTTCTTAGAAATAAACGTAAAGTTGAAAATTACCGCTTTGATATCGAGAACGGACCGCTTTCTAGTCACAATTAAGGTAAATAATAGCGACGACTCTCGATAACAACGGCCGCTGTATCGAAAATCGAATCGAATTTTGCGGGTCACCGATTGTCAGTCGAAGTGGAGCACGCGGGTCTGTAGAGAGCCACTCGAGAGGTTGCGCGTTCGAACTCCCAGTGAATCCGAAGTTCAGGTGGAGTAACACATAAAAAACAAAGGAAAAGCTATCGCGCTTTCTGATCACTCGTCAGGGACATAAATAATAATGTGAAAGCAAAGGTACACACTTTAAAGGCGTTACGAGGTAGGTTAGACTCGTCTCGCAATAACTCGTCGCGTCCAGTGGGGGCTTCGAACGTCGTCTCCGAGGGTTCGCCCCCCTATCGCTAACAATGCGAGGAAGAAACGGACACATCGAAACATTTTATTTAACGACACGCGTAAACCTTCGCCCGAATCGATCGAAGCTATCGGCGCTGTCCCGTTCCGCATCGGCTAACGATAACGGCGTGTCACGGTCTTCGCTATCCGATGTTTTTGTTCGGCTTGCGCTCGCGCAGCACGCTTCGCTCGACGTTTACGAGTACTAAGTACTACATCGGTCGACCGGCGTTGATCGATCGATCGAATCGAAAATTAAGCCATAATCGCACGAAACGCGTAATCCAATCGACGAACGGCAGATTTAATGAAAAGCCGAGACATGCGAGGCCCGAGGACGAGCACGACTAAGGCTTCCCATCGTTTCCGCGTCGCCGTCGTCGCTAATCTGACCGTGACCTTTCGCATTACACGTGTTCCTATTTTATCGAATTCCAGGCTTTAAAAAAAAAACAAAGCCATTTTCATCGAACCGATGAAATAAAGTGCCGAGTAGTTAGTAATCATAACATCATATGTGAAAATATGTTTAAGTCTTCAAACGAATATATTTGAATATAATGTATGCTAGCAAAGAAACAACGCCTAAGTTTAATTATTAACTTCTTTTTTGTTAGTGTCGTCGTGGCCAGTTCCTCGCTATTTGCTTATTAAAAGGCCAAATTGCTGTTTAATTAGCATAACAGAATGCCCACAGCTGTAACAGATAAATTATTCAAATAAGAATATAAAGTCGCTAAAATCTCTAAAAGTCAAACGTAGATATTTTAGCTATTTCGTCGTGTGATTGGCATCGGTCAAGCCTCCTCTCCGCCTCCTCTCCGCCTCCGTATAAAACATTCGTTTCAGACTAAAATGTTGAAGTGACGAGCTCCTCGGGTACAAATACCTTTCATTTCCGATAAAGTCACATGTAGAGCGAACTAGATCTACAATGAGGTTAAAGGTCGATTCTGTGAATTAGAAACCATAACAAACGTCTTCTCGCCCCTCCACGGATCTCGTCTGTCACCTGTTTAATATAGATACGTTGTCCTAGGTGTTCAATTATTGACCACTGAGCAAATGCGAACTAGTGAAAAGCAGTTGTTGGCGAATATTGTTATGCAAAACATGGGATGGTCGGGCAGCGAATAGGCCGATATCTTGCGCTGCGCAGGCGCATCGTCCGCTCTGATTGCCTCGTCTCAATGGCGGATGGTGGATCGCGAATGACTCTGTCAAAGCGTAGTTTTATGGAAACTCAGTGCGCAGTGGTTACAACGGTGAGGATTACGCGACCTAACTTTCTTTGTCAAGTTTAGTTCCCGACTGACCTCGTCCATATAAAACGAACGTGCTCCTTTATTTAATTCCATATACCTAGTCTTGCCATGAATACTGTAACAAAAAAAAATATTTTTTTTCTATCGCCAATAACATTCATTATATTTTACATGGGTTAGTTTAAGACTCAAATTATAGCGAGTTAAATATATAACACTTATTCAAAATAATTTCCATTGGCGGCGATACAGTCCTTGAAAGTTGAGGACAATTATCAATAGTAGCATGCACTCATCTCATGGCAAAATTTTAAATCTGCCAATCGTACGGATTTTTAACGCTGCTAGTCTTAAGTCATCTTTTAAGATACGCGACACGGTTCTAGGTGCTATCTTCATCTCCTGGGATAAATCAAATCTTTTGCTTTAATATACAAAAGACATTCCAAATTCAAATATAAGATTTTGACTTTTTTTAATTCTAACAGTACTTATGGCCGGACTAAGTATATACATATATAGCATATTTAAATGAGTGAAGCACAGGTGTTTTTAAGTTTAAGCCATTATTACGTATTCGATTAGGTTTGACATTAAAATCAAAAGCAAAAAATAAATTGACTTCGCGTAAAGTAATGACAATAAATTCGCGTAAAATAATTTCTATGTAACTAAACATAGTTACATAGAAATTATTAGATAAATATATTAAAAATCATATAGTCGGATTGTGCTTGTGCTTTTCTTATGCCAGTTTCATTTAACACTAATTTGTATAGATACACTTTATTTAAAATATGTAACTAGGAACCGACGTAACTGTTTTTTTAGTAAATAAGTTGCTTTGTATTTTTCGATTTTTGGGAAAGTAAAAGTCGGAAAAAATGACATTGAATTCTTTAAAGGACCGCCACTTGTAGATAAGGCGGCCGTAGGGGCAGAGGTTCAAAACACTACTACGGCAAAATTTTCGCATCTAATACCTAAATCGATACCCTCACATTATGTTTGCAGTGATGTACACTTGTAAGTTGCTAAGTGTGTCAGTGTTTGAAACAATCCTGGGAGAGTGCTCAAGAAAATCGCGGTGTGAAAATGAGAAGACAATTTAAACGACACGCAAAACCCGTCTGTTAACAAGAGGACAAAAAGAGCCGTGCGTGTGATCGTATCGGTTCGCTTCTACACAATGATCGCAGTGAGACGAGCACTCATTTGGCTGCAAAGTTTTTACTTAATTATTGTACACTTTTGTTGTACTCTAGATACTGTTTTTTTTTAAGAAAGAAACATAACAGAAACACCAATCGATTACAATTTTATAGTAAGAGTAAGTATGTAATATAAAGGTTAGGATGCACCTGCAAAAACGTTTCAAAGATAAATAATGTATAAAAGTAAGTTACAAGCAAATATCTTTAAAGGAATAATAATGAAATACAAAAACACAATAAGAATAAAATAAATAAAAAGCCGCAAACAAGCAATTAAGTAAAATTTAAATCAAACGCAAGTTCGTTTCTCAACATTGATAACAACTTGCGCCTGAGCTCCGCAGGGGGGCACGAAAATATGTCAACATTGTTGAATCTTGTATTGCACGATTTACACATTCTACGTAGAGGCATTCGAAACCCAATATTAGTTCTAGCAGAGGGCAAGTCAAAGGTCCGCTTTTTATCATTTTCTTTCATAGTAATCGTAATCGCGTATATAATTAAAGTTAATTAAAAGAGGGTTTGTTACCTTTCCGAATGATTTGCGCAAGGCCTGTTGCACTAAGTAGATCGAAATTGTATTTTTCGCAACGAAGAAGACCCGATGCGGGCGTAATCTTGCCAAAGTAAACATTGCTAAGTCGAGGTCGGTAAATAAAAATTGTTGATAGTTATCTTTCGTCATGAATGACACACCGATAACTTAGGTTTCACGCCGGTAGACAATACGCAATTTTGGATAAAGCTATTTACTAAATTTGTGAGAAAGTAATATTATGCTCGCCTGTATCGCGCTGTCGAGTGTCGACTAATATCTAAATAATTTAAAGCGAACGATCGCGACTGTCATTTGACCTTGAAACGATGTTTGACCATTATAGTTTTTTAAACCTTTTTTAATACATAATAAACTTAAAAAATAGTTAAATAAAAATGCCTTATTACTATATTAGCTAATAAAAGCTAAAAGGGGAATCGATTGTCCTATTACGAGTAGTAACAAAATATGTAGCGAACGACACTTATTTACGCCCTAACATTGAATCACTCACCCGCGAAAGGAGACTGCAAAACTCATAAATAACACGATAGTCACAATATTTGCACTCAACAGTCTTCGATATTTGCCCACTGGCTGCCGACGGACCACGACGACGACGAGATTCAAGTTGGCGGCATTTTGGCGGTGGACGGCGCGAGCGCGCGACGGAACGGGTCACGAACGTGTGAAATCAGCTGTGGCTGCGAAGTGGTCGCCGCCTAACGGTCTTCCCCCGCTGCACCGCCCCCGCTTCGCAGATAACTAGATATCATTCAAATTCTGTTTATTTTCAAACCGCGGAGATTACGCAGATATCTGCGTTAATTTTATATCTGAAAACATATATACATTCTTTATGTAAGTAAAGCGCGTCTTGCAACAGTTGTTTTAATAGCGGCGGGCGGGACATTAAATCACACTTATTTTCAATTTCACAAGTTCACTGGCCAACACTAGTCTATCGATCAAAAATATTTGACAATCGCAGATAATATTGTGCTCCACAGTTCCACACACACACAGTGGTAATAATAAAGTCTCGGGTAGCATCTTGCATACAATGATACCAAGGTCTTTCAGGTCCATTTGTTTGTGTTTCCATACCATTTTCCTTTCGTGTCTTGATCGTGTCTTTCTTCCACATTTCTAGCCACAACTTTTGAATATTCTGGTAATACATATCGACGAATGATGTACAAAAGGGTAGTATATTAGTTCAGTTTGATTTTACCCGGGCATTCGATTGTTTAGACCCAGAATGACTTGTTGCCAAGTTAGCTTACTGTGGCGTAGAGAGAAGCACATGTAAATGGTTTAAATCATTTCTGTCAAACCGAAAGCAATTTGTTGAACTGGAGGTGCAAGGTAGGGACGCTATTTCCGAAATACGGAGTGTGGACCGATGTCCTTCTCTATCTATATTAAGTCCTCTTCTTTGTGTGATCTATACAGCAGATTCAGGGCATCTAAGCATTCATGGCAGGTTGCATATGTATGCTGACGACACGTAGTTCCATTATCCCATTGACCTTAAGGACACGAATGCAGCAGTAACTCAAATAAATGAGGACCTGGTAAAGGTCCTTACTTGGGCTAATAACAATAGACTTTTTCTAAACAGCTCGAAAACTAAATACACAGTGTTAGGTTCTAAGCAGCATTGTAAGCAAATATGACGCCAAAATATAAATATCTGGCTGAACAACTCTCCAGTCGTTGGATTTAACTCTGAGAATAGTTAAAGCTGTTATCAAACTCACGGAATCGAAAATGATTAAAAAATATTAGTTCTTCTTTAGTTCGCAAAAACGCATGAATGTCTGATAGACTGCATATGCCTTTGCCGTTAATATAAAGCAGGGTTCTTGCCGAATAAAACTTAAAGAAAATTTTGCTTGTGGATCATTTGCTTTGCTTCTATCACTGTAGATAACGTCATGTGTACATTCTATTTTCCTCCAAAAATTGAAGCATTTCCATATAATTGTGTATTGTTTGCTTAACTACATTAATTGGATATGAAATGCACTAATAAAAGAAAGAGTAACGTGGCCATGGAGACTGTTTCCAGAAATATATCTGAGGGAGTTGGAGAATTACCGCACAGTAAAGCTAGTGCTTTTGTTAATGGGCTTATTAGGGGTTTAACTATATAAGGTATAATTTTGATTATGGCTTGAGTGTCGTTTGATGCCATTAACTTAAGACAATATCTTTCAGCAAGTAAGATTCATCTCAAAATCACTGACAACACGTTTGTCTCAACTTCCATGGCCGTTATGGGAGTTGAGCACATAGCGCCAGAAATTATCCTTAAAGCATATTCTGCAATATGTCTAATTTATTTACATGAGATCTATTCCTATAAGCAGGTGAACTATAATCTAAATGACTTCTAACAATACTTTTATACAATATTGACCCTATCTAACACAAAGTATTCTGATAACATTAGGTAATTTGTAAGTATTTTGGGCATAAAAATTCGTTTTTGCAAACCCCTTCTTCTTCTTCATCTTTATAAACTTAAACTGTTACCCACGACGTCGGTCGCGTCCCTTTCCGTTGTTCTTGCAAGTTAATCTTAAAAGATAGACATTTAGCGTCGCGGACTTTTTGAGATCACTTAGAGAGGATTAATTCTTTAGTACATATTTTTTGGGTATCTTGTACCGTTCTTGCAGCGTTTTTGTCACATTACCCGTTGTTTCTTCGCTCCTATTAGTCACATCGCGATATGTCATAGCCTTCCTCGATAAATGCTCTATACAACGCAAAAATATTTTTTCAATTAGAACCATAAAAAGTACTGGACCGATTTTAATAATTCTTTTTTCATTAGAAAGCTACATTATCACTGAGTAACATAGGCTATATTAAGTACTTAATTACTATTGGCATCTATAGAAATGCTTACTAAAACCAACGGAAGGCGTAAAAAAATTTGCCGTAAAATGTCTTTCTTCGCATACGCTGCGAAAAGTATTAATAACAGGACAAAAAAATTTTCGACAATATTATAGAATATATCAATATCTACAAAAAACATCACGAGAGCATATGTCTAACTATTGTAGTTACGTCGCTATAACTACTTCTTTACATTAAACAAATTAAGAGAAATGCCGATCAAAATCAGACCGTTATCCATACCATTTATACATTTTTATCCAAATAAATGTCCCAGTGATTGTCTCAATACTTGATGATTACTTTTTTAATTATTGAAATCGGACATGCCATTCAAAAGATATCATGAAATTAAAATAAAAATACATGCCGGCGGCGGCCGCCACGCCGCGCATCGAGTAACTAATTCGACGATAGAGGGGCAGTGCTGTCGACTCCTTAGGCGGTGGGCGCGAACGACATTGAATATTTCGAGTTCTTTTTAAACATTTTTATCCTTAACTTAATTTTTTTTTTTCAGAGCTACTTAGTATTAGTAATAGGAATCACACTTTGCATAAAATTTGTCAAAGTTATTTTCAGAACTATCGCTTTGAAGTTGCATATTTTTGAACATGTATTCTTATTAGTTTATTCTTAATTTCTCTGATTTAAAATAAATATCCTTCATAGCAATATGTCTAGAAGAAGGAGGTCGCAGCTATCTAAGATTAGTTCCCAAGCGAGATTAGCAAAAGTTCGTCGTACTGGAGAGTCTTCTTCCTATAATCATCGTCGGCAATCAGAAAACCATAGCAAAGAAACAATGCCAGCAAAGGGAGAGTGAAGACAGAGAGCAGGTGAGGGGGCTCGGGAGGCGGAGCACCCCGCATTAAAAAAATACTTATATCGACGCGACGACTAAATTTGCTGTCGTCGAAGAATTATGAATATAAGTTAGGTAAGAGTCACATTCACAGAAAAGAAAACATAAACTGTACTGTCTATGTTTAGCGAGTAGTACACATTTAAATAAAACACTTTAACGGTTTAAAACGCAATATTATGATATATGGCGCCGGAGCAAAATTTAGTCCTTTGTTTAATTAAACAAAGGACTAAATTTTGCTCCGGCGCCGCGAAAAATACCTTGCGAAGAGATAATCAGCTACGTCGAGGAAAGCATCTTCAAAAATGTCATCCCTAAGGAAGACGGAAGCAATACGGCAGGATAACTGTATTCTACGCTCCAGCAAGCCGCCTAAACACAATCTTTCCCTAGGGAGTCGACTGCTCTCAAACAACTAAGAGCGAATGAAGATATTATAGTACTGCGTGCTGACAAGGGAAACGCCACGGTCGTGATGGATACGTCGGACTATAAACAAAAATCGGAAATACTTGATGACGACGCGGTTTACAACAAGGTTGCAAAGGACCCCACAACCAAAGTAATGAAAAAGACGTCGGAACTTATTAACAAGTACAAAACGACTCTAAACCTCGACGCCAAACATCTCATCACAGCCTGCCCGAAGCCACCTAAAATGTACGGGTTACCTAAAATTCATAAATTAAACAATCCCTTACGTCCAAGTTAGTCAAATAGATTCGCCCACTTTAAACTAGCAAAACACTTATCCAGAACACTTGCCCCCCTCAGGGGAATACAATCTCACGTCAGGGATTCGTATCAGTTTGTAGAAACTATTAAAGGTCTAAAGGTAGCGGACAATGAGGTTATGGTAAGTTTGACATCACATCACTCTTTACAAACTTACCTATAGTGATTGTTCAAAATTATTAAGAGCAAACTTATTAAACACAACAGCCTAAGAATATGCGGATATCTTAGAACATTGCTTGACAACCGGGTACCTACTTTGGAATGGGGATTTCTATGTTCAGGTAGATGGGGTAGCCATGGGTTCTCCAGTTTCACCCTTAGTTGCTGACATTTTTATGGAAGACTTTGAGGAGAGAGCCCTTGCTTCTTCCCCGGTTAAACCTAAGCTTTACAAGCGATACGTAGATGATACCTTCACCATCTTACCCAAAGCACAAGTCTGCATTTCTTACACACCTTACTCAATCACAATAACATTAAGTTTACAATGGAACAGGAGACAATAACACACTACCTTTCTTGACATTAGTAATCGTGATGAACACGGTAATATTGGGCATACCGTCTTTAGAAAAACAACCCATACAGATAGGTATTTGAACGGTGACTCACATCACCACCCCAGCCACTTAGTTCTGTCGGAGTATCTTTTTTCAGAGAGCCCGCCGTCTCTGTGATGCGCCCACTTAATGGGAGTTACAGCATGTCAAGCAGGTCCTATGAGAACAAGCTAGAGTCCCTCCGCAGATCCAGGAACAGGAACAAGCCACCCACAGTCAAACGTCAGCCCGCCTACCTACCATATGTGAAGGGAGTTACAGAAGAATTAAGAGTCCTAATCGAGCTTTATTGAATTCAAGCCGACAAGAAGATTCAGCAATTCCTGAAACCAAGCAAGTGTACTATCCCTTTACAAGATGCAGGCGTTTACAGACTGGATTGTGATTGTGGCCTATCCTACATCGGCCAAACAAAGCGTAGCATCTCAAACAGAATTAAAGAACACGTCGCGGATATAAAACATAAACGTCTCTCCAAATCTCGGTATGCCAACACTCATAGAAGGGCCCAATCACTACATTCGCTTTGACCAACCAAAAATCCTCGCAAAGGAGAGTCGATTTTTTCCAAGATTGGTACGCGAAGCAATTGAAATCAAAAAACACCGAAATTTCAATAGGGAGGACGGCCTCAAACTATCAAACACCTGGGATCCCATATTAAAAACTCTGGATCCCAATAAACAGCATACCAGCAAACGCGAAGACACCGTTAGTCAATTCTGTAAGGACCCGGCCAGTTTCGCCAAATACCAACTTCGACGGAACAGATGGCGCTAGCGTAGCAATTCTTTACTTTGACGTCTGAGACATCCTCCATCTTTAGTCTCCCCGTGACCACGGCTGCTGCAAAGCATCCGAAACGTCGGGCCGAAGTTAAAAATCATTTTCAAATAAGTTTAACTAATATATCGCGTTTTAAACCGTTAAAGTGTTTTATTTAAACATAAACTGTGATCAAAAATACCCTCAGAAACAAGGAAATTTTCAAAAAATTAATTCAATAAGACCTATGAGAAATCAAACCCTTTTATAAGCAGCGCAGCGACATCTCGAATCATATTACGACAGCACGGCACTTGCCCTCTGGAACCAGCAAAAGTTCCAAACTATTTACCTAGATGTAGCTAATTTTAAAAAAAAAGTTAATAACGCGATAGCTGACCTCGTGGACAAAGACGAATTTGTGAAGACCTAAGAAATTATACATAGGGAGATTTTCTCTTGGAACCGTTTTATTTTCTTTACTTCTTTAAATAACAAGTTTGTAGAACTAGAAATAAGCTTAATAAATAATTAATTCTTAGTTGCAAATCCATATCGTTTTTTACAGTTTTATTCGTTCGTTGCAAAAGTAGATAATTATCTACCTAAGATTTACCTCATTCTTTACATTATGGAAAAGGAATATGTGTATTTAGGCACAATATAAGAAAACAAAAATTTAAAATATAAAATATGCTCAAGTCAAAATGAAAAAACGGGCTTTATTATTTAATTATGATATACATTATAAGGGTACTCATGTATTAATATGGTACCAGCATAACACTTTTATTATATTTAATTGTTTACAACTGGAACAAATAAAGTCAAAAATGTATAAAAAATAAGTTAGTTTCGGCTCCAACGGTCAGAATCGGGGGCATACTCTGCAAATGGATGAATATGTTATATTTAACAGAGCAATATACTTTCAACGCAATAATAAACTTTCCATGAACTTCTAATAAAGAAATAGCCTTAAATACTGTCCCTCTCTTTTTTAATAGATTAATTCATTGCTCTAGACAAAAGTGGTGCGAACGTTAGATGCACAGGAGGGACAGTTGGCCCGTTTCCGGTAATAGAACAAGCGCTGGTCAGCAAGATGCAGACGATGATCGACAAAAACATAGCCATCGTCGCCCAGAACAAGAGGATGATCAGGAACCTGGCACTTCTCCAGGGCAGCTCGGTGCTAGTGCGCAACACTTCTTCGTAACTTAGGGGTCTGGAAAGAGATCACGAAAGGATATAACAGGATACTTTAACTTAAATATTTTGTTTTTATCTATGGACCCTATATAGTACATTCTAAAAGTTAATTCAAAGGTCATCAGCGCTCTCATTCTTTCCACACTATAATCCAAAACTAAAACGAACAAGTTTCCAGTCGGCAAATAAAAAATACAAAATCAACCTGTTTTCGCGTTGCACTTCCACAAGGTCAAGACTTCTGTAAGTTTCGATTCTCCCGTTTTAAAGTGCGTACCTGTGCATTCTGGCTCGCTGAATCAAGGGCTGTCTTTCTGGATCCATCTTGTTTATTTTAATGCACAAAAGTGCAATGTCGTCTCCGTGTGGGAGGTGACTGACATCGACCCAAGATAAGTTGGACTGGCGCGAACGAAGACCGTCCGATAGTACCTACGTGTATTTTAATATTGGCCATTGTCGAGCGTCTCGAGTCCACTAGATTATTTAGCAGGTTTTCATTTCCGCCAAATGACTTTTGTTTATTGGATTATTTGCTGTTTTTTTACAATTTTGAATTTTTTTATAAAATATAACGCCGGGTGCGAACCGTAAATCTTAACAGAAAACGAAAAGAAAGTCGCCGACCATAACGTGTACATATTATACGCATATATACTTTTTGCATTGTCAATTTTCAAAATGTTCATGTGAATAAATGTGCATTTTCGTGTTCACACCAAACCACAGCAGCAAATAAGGTCTGCTTGCCTTTTATATTATAAACGAGAAACGTATCAGAACAATCAAATGTTCCAATACTTACTTATTTAACACAGAAGTAATTTACAAATACTTACATCAAAATATAATAATCGGGTGAGATTAATATAGCGTACTCAGACTTTACTAATACGCCAAATTTGTATATTTTTCAAAATTACAAATGATTATTTTAAATATTTTTATTTATCAGTATAAGACTAGCTGTGTCAGTGACTTCGTCGATGCCGTCCGCGTTCCGTAGTTCTTGTAAGTCAATCTTAAAAAAAGGAGTCGCGAATATTTTTTTAAATCATTAAAAGAAGATACATTATTTTGTGCTGATTTTTCCGGGGTCGTCACGGAACACGTCGAAAACTCAGAAATCGATCGAAATAGATGCATCAGTTCCTTGTCTAGATCTGGAACACAACACTTCGAATATTCCAATATTTATCCTTGGCAACGTACACAAAAAAATACTTTTTGACGACGTTGGCAAGCGGACGAGAGGATCTCGAAACTGGCGACATACTTCTTATTAAAGCAGAAAATTTACTCTGAAATATTATATCTGAATATGAGCGTAGATGTTATTTAGTTAATATTCAAAATTGTGCATCGTACATCGTCATGATAGATATATATACATAGTATCCGTACCTTTTGCATTAAATTTTCTACATTTTCGTGCACTCAATGTGTTCAACGAAGCATTCTTTAAAGAATTGTGTAAGAACGTCCTGGCGGCGTGTTGTGTTTATCAATTGTGTTTACTAGTATTATAAATGCGAAAGTAACTCTTGTCTGTAGCTGACTTAATCATGAGATGTATGGCTTATAATATAAAAAAGAATAAAAAAAAACTCTCTGTCTGTCTGTCCGGCTTTAACTCCGAAACTACTGAACTGATTTAAATGATATTTGGTAGATTTAAGAGTCTGAGAAGGGACATAGGCATACTTTTTAATGCCCAATAAGGGTTGAAAAAGGGGATGAAATTTTGAATGGAAATTCATGGTTTTTGAAGCTAGGACAATGAAACTTTCTTCTTTGGCTTTTGGTAATAGGAGTGGGAGTGGGAGTGGGAGTTAGAGTAGGAGTGATGTAAGGTGAGAGTGTTGCGGCAAAGTAGCACTTACAACATAGATTGGCTGCCTTAAATGCGCCCTTACATAAATTAATAAACGGCCTGAATAATTAAAAATTCTACCTCAAGTCACTATTCCACGCAGACGAAGTCGCGGGCTCAGCTAGTAATCTATATATTTTGTTAAAGGTTCAATCTTTTGACAAGCCAACCTGTGGCATTGGTTGCTGATAAGTTTCTTGTGTAAAGTTTGTAAAGAAGATTTTATTAGTTCCGAAAAAAAGCGCCTCATAGAGCGTATATAAATTGGATCTGTGCGATTCTTGTTTGAATTTACCTTTTCTTGAAGCTGTACAAGGACATAAAAATATTACAAGTATCATTGCATTTTCTAATTACTTCAGAATAGGTAATATATACTACTTTTTCTTAGACGAGATAAGTTACATGTACACGCTACGAGTCTCTCGAGACACTTCCTCCGCTTGGCATATGGTGGTTCGATCAACATCTTGAAATGCTGAATGCGGGTAGATCTCAGCAATTATGAATTACGCCGACAGGCGTTCGTGACAGCTACCCGAGGCGAGGTGCGCCGGGGCACTAGTTTGAGAAAATTTGAAACATTTTATTTTCAATTTACAAGTATTGCGATTTCCCTAATATATTAGTGTCCGGGACAGCTACTGCAAGTGATGCGAGGAAAGGTTGGAGGTGTTGTTTTTTACTCGTATTTAGTGCCGGTGATCGATCGATTTAATTTATAAAGTCCACTAATTATCGAACAACTTTGAAAGATTAAAAACGAGCATTGAACGAATTTAGTTTTTTTAAGTTTAAAATGCTAAAAAGTGCCCTTTTAGTTTTATCTTTTAGATTTGTTTCATATAAACTTTAACAACTGATTATTGAAAGTACACCCATTTAAACAAAACCCTTTAAACGGCTTAATACGTGTATTGAACTAAAGAGTAAATCAAGTTTGATTTGTGCATTTCTTGTTATGAACAGGTGATTATTCGTTATAAGCTTCAAAAGGACTTTTAATGTTATATTATATTTAAAGCAAAGTTACTAAAAACCATTAAAATCCAATCAGCTCAAGAATTTTTAAATCAATTCATGAATTTATCATGTCAAACATGTTTTATTTTGTTTTGTATATAATTCTAAGTATTTATGTTCTTATGTCTATGTTTGTGCAATAAAGAGTTTTTATCATTATTATTATTGTCAAAAAGTTGGTAACGGCATCTTGGTCTAAAAATAGAAAAGAGTTCGGCCAGGAGGCATTATCTAAAACTACATAATATATTATATTTCACCGCCATACTTTAAGCATATCCGAAGTAAACAGACATACAAATTAATTCTGTTAAAATATTTAAATTTGTATAACTTCTCTTTTTATTAAGTTAGTTAAGTAGTGTTTGGGCTCGCCGTGGCCGACAACGGGCAATAAGCTCGAACAATAAAAAGTATCTCCCCCCGCGCAAATTGAATCCCCCTACCCCCTCAAAGCTAGAAACCAGGCCCTTTATCCTAACCCCACTGAGTGTGAAGAACAGTTTACCTCAACTGCTTCCCTCCATGTCCCTCTTCTTTTCAAAAACTCAAAAATTAGTATTTCTTTATTCATGACAGTGGTACAGATCTAGTTTCCCTAATACTAGGTGATCATCAATCATTTTAATTGTTTCTGCTTGCCATCTGCTTCCCCACGAAACCTCTCTCTGTGGGTCTAACTTCTGAGTTCTTGGTATTATAATTTCGTGTTTGTGGCCAAGTAATCTGTCTCGGCGCGGCAAGTTTTCTAGGTCTAACAGCATTTTTGATTTCCTTTCACTTCTCGTGTTATTCAATAAAAAGCGCTTAAGATCCCATTTTGCCATATAATTTTTTTTAATAAATAAATTTGCTAAAATTCCCTCTAAACCCCCACTTCTTCCCCCATTAGTCCCCCTTTTGTATAGCTCCTCAGCCGTTCGTTCTACACCTATAGTGTTTGGGCTCATCGAGTTAGTATTACCGGTATGAGAGGAATCCAGCGAACATGAATTAAAAACTAAAATATAATATTAACCATTAATTCAAAAGTAAAGTTATAAAAACACAAACCCTCAACTAAACTTAACATAATAAACTGAAATATAAAAGTTTGAGATTAACGTAAAACTTAAATAAAAATTCAAGTATCGTAATCTCAGTAAGTATAATAATCTCTAAACGGACCTCAAATGTTAGATGCTAATTTGACGATCTGTAGTTAAAAAATCAAAACACTATTAAAGATTATGAACGATCATGGAACTAATATAGTTCTTTGAAATTTATAACGCCTGATGAAAAGATAAAGCAAAATTAATTAGTGCCCTTTTAGTTTTTGACCTTTAAAGAGCTGATTTTGGAAAGTACAATTATTTAAACAAAACGCTTTTAATATTTCAAGATGACCGTCGAACTACATTATATATTTCGGCAACACTAGCGCCATCTAGCGTCAAGCGAAGGCTCAAGCCGCATTCTTCTCGAGGACAACGTCGCATAGACTCCATAATATATTAAATCGTATGCGTGCTTATCTAAAACCCCAGTCATGTCAAACATCGTAATTTAATAATAATAATAAAGCTATATATAGGAAAGTATATATAAATAATAATAATTATATATTTGTCAAACCATAAATTCATACATTTCTTAAAATTATTTAAATCTAATGTGTGTTAGTTGGGTTAGTAACAATTTTTAACTTAAAATGTAGATTAGAGTGTGTTAGTTACTAAAATTAATTAGATAAAATTAAATATAAGTAGACAAAATGAAATATACACAATAGGTGCTAGGGAGCATGGACGTTACTCTATCGTTTTAGCAGCACCGTATACTTTTCACCCCAGACACCAATGCCCCCAGAATGCCATCGGTGCTTTGTCGAACTCGATACATGAGGGAAGTTACGCTTGCGGATGATGGCGTGAAAACCATCTGTGCGTGCATCATCAAACATGCCCGACGTTGATGCGACGATGCGACGACATTGCCAAAATACTGTAGTGTATCTTGGCAAGCCCAATAACAATCTGAAAGCATTGTTGTATTGCACACGAATAGAATTCAATGCTCTCTGATTAGTGTGTATGTGTGTGTATGCTGGAAGCCGTCTCTAAACCTGGTTTAGTTTTTCCCTTGTGTTCAAACCACACATTAATTTGGTGCGGAAGCCCAAGAATTTTTATTAAATGTATCATTTAATTAAGTTGGTATTTAATTAAACGCTTTAGATTACGGTCGATATATACATTTGATTTTGAAGTTATCTATTTTTTTATTCCTTGTCGCAACCATTCATTAACTGTGTTATTAATCTAAATCGTTAAAAATGTCGTTTCATATTAAAAGACGATGAAAAACCACCGTTAAGGCTCGTATATGGATAAATGAGGGTCCTAATAATAATTATTTACCACTTTTAAGGCCAAAACATACGTTA